TATAAGAAGCAAGCATGGTCATACACATATAGTGGCAATCGCCGATTCCTTTACGAAATTTGTGGTTATTAAAGCTGTAAGGAATACGAAGACATTGCCCGTCATCAACGTTTTAAATGAGGTTAGTGGATACTTTGGTTTACCTCGAAGAATAATTTCGGACCGTGGGACAGCTTTTACGTCAAAAATGTTTGAGGAATATTGCGATCGAAACAATATTCAACACATTAAGAATGCCGTTCGTACACCAAGAGCCAATGGACAAGTTGAGAGGGTCAATCAACTTATCCTGTCTTATTTACGAACTACCACTGAAGAACCGAAGGATTGGGACTCGGCACTTCACGTTTTACAATGGTCAATCAATTCAACCAAAAATTCGACAACAGGTTACAGTCCGAATGAGTTGATTTTCGATTACAAGCCCACCGACTTAATACAAAACCGATTGTTAGCAGCTGTACAAGATGATGTACAAAACGAAGAAATTTCCATCAACGAAAAACGTATCATGGCCGCAGAAAACATCAAAAGCGAACGAGAACGATGGAAGAAAAGATTTGACAGCAAGCATTCGAATCCGAAATTGTATGTGGAAGGTGACTTGATCCTTATACAGAATGAACCACCAGCGACAGGTGAATCCCGGAAGTTAGAACCTAAATACAAAGGTCCATACATAATAGCACGAGTATTGGGCAACGACAGGTACCTGATAGAGGACATTCCTGGAATAAACATCACGAATAGGAAATTCTGTTCCGTATTCAGTTCCGACAAGTTGAAGAAATGGTGTGAATGTTCCCCCGAATTGGATGTTTCAAGCGAAGATGAAGCCGAGGACGACTTCAGGTCAGGAAAGGCCGAGTTGTCAAGTTAAAAGTAGTAGTAGATACCTTTTGTTGCATACATGTGAAAATATACGATTACATGCAACCCGGATACAACCCTGAATTTTTAAAATGTAACGAAGTTGAAGATACGAAGCCAACCTGACAAGGCGTACTAGTTTAAGCTCGTATAATTGATTTTAATAAACGTTTGTGAATTCTTAATTTAATAAAAACGGTCGTTGTATTTCATTTGAGTATACGGAAACCAACAGACTTCAATCGATCACTTGACAAACACAAATACAGCGTTATTGATTAATCACATACGGAAAACGGTGATACCCTGCACTAACATACATACCAGTACTTCAGTAATCAACGAGCAAATATCAATACAAACTACTGAAAACCGATACCTACCTGTTTTCTGAAAAATTTAAGATTAACATTAGAACAGGTAGAAGACACACACACACGCATACGCATAACACTATATTTGCTTTCAAGCATCAGAATGTAAAGTAACATAACTGAGGTTTTTTAAATTAAAAAAAAATAACTTCTGCTTTACATGAAAATATTTTCAACGCCTTAAAAATAAAAATGCATTGTATGTAGCTTAATTTTGGATAATCAAATTTTATTTTATATGGCGACCAAGGAGATTTTGTTAAATGAAATTGTTTTAAATAAAACCATAAATCGCATACTTATAGGTAAATAAATAAAAAAAAAATATAAATTTGATTTTTTTTTTGGTTATGCTCAATTTGTATTGAATCAGACCAAACTTTTATTACATCACGTGAAAACAGAAACTCATGTAGTCAGTTCCCAAAAAACATTATGATTCGAATTACTACGTCATTTTTTATCCATGATATGTCACTCAACAAAAAAGTTGATATTTTTTTGTATCAGAAAAGAAATAACTATTTAAAAACAAATCCGAAATAATATCTTAAATAAAATCCCGATTATAACCTCCACCACGGAAAGGAGGGTATATTAAATTTGTCATTCGTTTTGTACCCCCTCCAAATATTCTTTGTAGACCCCATAAGGCATACATAATCATGATTATCATAACTTTCCACATTATTTGGCATTTGGCACAATAGTTTGCATTGTGTCTGGAATGTTTGATTTCAATATCAAACATATGAGATATCTCAATCCACGTTTTTGTATAGCCCTCATAAAATCGAAACTCCCGATATTCAGTATTTTCATGATTTTAGGCACACTTTTTCACGGATTTGTCTAAAAATTGGTATTTATAGTTCAAAAAGGATTCTTCTTCCGGTTGCAGAACATGGTCTACACAGGTCCCCATTTTACTATGTTTACGATTTCATCCACATTTACTAACGGGTTTTGTATAAAAGGCAGTATTTTTATTTTAGTTCGTAATTGTTTCTACCCTCGGTGGCAGGACATGGTATGTATAGGTACACAATTTAATATGGCGCCCATATGATGGTACATCCCAATATTCGGTATTTCGATAATTTTATCTAAATTTTTCAGGAAATTATTTCAAATCTAGTATTTAGAGTTTATAATGGGGCTTACCTCCTGTGGCGGAACATCTTCTTGATGTTCTAAATCTATATAAGAGGAAAATGTACGTTTGATTTTTTGTTTGTAATTTATAGGCTCAAAAGCCACTAAACTACTACTACGACATCGCCTGAAAGAATCATAGGCTATATAAATTTTTGAAATTCCACTTGGAAAAAAAACTACTTTTGTTTGCACATATCTATTGTTCGGTTACAGATACGATCAAATTTGGAATGCCCAACGGAATTCGGTACAAAAATTATTACGATAATGTGTGTTGATGCAATGAAATTCAGAATGATTGGCGAAATTTGGCCCAAAAAAATATTTACCGAAATTTATTGAAATCGGTTCAGATTTGGATATAGCTTTTATATATATATTAGGCCGATTTCGGGTTAATTGTGCACAAATATCAGTTCAAATGATTCGAATTTTGGAAAATCCGACCGAATTCAATCCAGAAGCAAGTATAACCAATTTGGTGAAAATCGGTTCATGCACAAATGTCTCCGTCTAATTTAGCGGAAAACGATTTACAGGATATACGTTCCACTCTAAACTGTTCTGAGGCCTAAATGTGCATTCAAAAACTATCATAGTTTCTATGATCTAATCTTCATAGGTTCCCCATAAAAAAGTTTATTTATATTTCGGATAGCTCTACTTAATAAGCATAGTGGTGTAGGGTATCAAAAAGTAATTGAATTTGTTTTATTTTTATTTACAAATCCCAAAATATTTGTGTATAGAATTTTGAATGCATATAAAATCAAAAGGGGTAGCGAAATGTACCGGGTTCAGCTAGTTGTCTACATAGGTTCACGTTTTCCTATATCCCTTACAATTCATAGTTCCGCTATAAGAGAGCTATACCTATATTAAATATTGTGTTCTACTTCATCAGAAAGTGGATTTCAATAAAAAATTCTGGAAAATGTTGGAATTTTTCACAAAAAATTATAGTTTATTTTCGCCCGCTAAATATTATCCGCTGAAAACTACGCTTCGATGGGACTAATATTGTGACACAGATAGTGACTGCAAAATTAGCAAAAATAAGTTTTTGGTCCGTTTCATCCTCCTAATGTTTTGCGATCCTCTGCCCTAACAATATTCTGACACTAATCGGTCTACGAGATCGTATAGCACCCATATAACGGTGCCCCCAGATATTCTGTATTTTTATGATTTTAGCCTCCTCCTCCTCCTAAATGTTTTGCGATCCTCTGCCCTAACAATATTCTGACACTAATCGGTCTACGAGATCGTATAGCACCCATATAACGGTGCCCCCAGATATTCTGTATTTTTATGATTTTAACATCATTTTTCAATGAAATTGTCTGAAAATCCACAAAAGGAGTTTCTTCTGAGTACTTTACCCCCTGGAAGATTATTGGCTATATAGGTCCACTTAATCATATATCCCCCATATAACGGCACCTCCCAATATTCGGTATTTTGATGATTTTAGCGACATTATTCACCGTAGTTATTTCAAATTTCGTATTTAGAGTTCGTAATGGAAACTACAGTCTATGACAGAAAATTTTCTATGCAGGTCCAGGTCTTCGTATAGGCCCCATATATCAGTACGTCCCTATATTCGGTATTTTATCTATAGGTGCAATATTCACCGAAATTGTTTGAAATTTTGTATTTGAAGTTTCTTATATGTATTATAGCCTATGACAGAAAATGGCCTATGCAGGTAAAGGTCTTCGTATAGCCCCGATATAACCGTGACTCCCTATATTCGGATTTTGATGAGTTTAGCTACATTATTCATCGGATTTTTCTTCGAGTTTCGTATTTGAATATTGTAATGGCTTATGACAAAAATTGCCTATGCAGGTCCACATCTTCGTATAGGGCCCCATATAACGGCTATATTCAGTATTTTTAAGATTTTAACTGAAATTTTAAGGAATATATATTTTTTTTTTTATCCAAATTCGTTCCAAATGGTGGAGGGTATTCAAAGTTCGGACCGGGCGAACTTACTGCTTCTTTACTCCGTTCCAAATGGTGAAGGTTCTTTAAAGTACGACCAGACCGAACTTACTGCTTCTTTACTTGTTTTTTTTTTTTTGAGTTTTTACAAAACTTCTTAAAGTTAACCACACACTGTTACAATAAATGTGGCACGTACCCAAAATTTTTCCTATTTTAGCTTCCACAGCTCCGTCTTTGCATTGATTATAATTTTTTCGGACGGATATTATAAATACTAGATATATACTTTTTTGACTCTCCGATAAATATTTTGAGCTGTTGCAAACGGAATGACACATTAAATATACCCTCCATTTCATGGCGGAGGTTGTAAAATGTGTAATGTGAATACCCAAATGAAATAATGAGAGACAATAAAGAGCCGCTGTTTCGATGCCTCTGCCACACCGTAGTGCAATGAATGACAACAACAATAACCACAAAAAATAACAGCTGGCACCCACTACCACATAATAGACCTCACTGCAACGATTCATTACGAATTGGAAAATTGTATCTGCTGCATCGTGGTCGCCCTGTTGCACCCAACGCTCGTCAATGGGAGACGAACCGAATAGGGGCAGTGATTTGGATTTTGTTGTTGATTCTCAGTTGCAAAAGCTAATTTGATGTGAACGGTTTCATTTGTCCAGTGATTTCGGTTCTATAAGTTCTTTTTGGTGTGAATTCTTGTGCGTTTATTCGGAGTGTTTGTTTGTGTTTACATTCGTCCAATTGTATGTACGTACATATGCATGTAATGCCAATGACGTATTGCTGAATCTATGGTGCAATATTATAATGCTCTGCACTGTGTTTGCGTTCGAATGATTTTTGTCAGTGTCCATTATTATCGGCCGAATGATGGAACATCCGTATTTTATGCTTCTTGCCTTCACATGTCTACATATGTATTTGTAACTGATGAAGTGTCATTTGTAATTTTCGAATGAAGTTTTGTGGCATTTATAATGTGATATGTTCAAATGTGGTTGACTTTGATTTCTCAGTGAATGAATACAAATACGTTTCACTTGTTTACTCAAAGAGTGACTTAACTTAGAAATATACGGTGGACCTAGAAATGCATATTATTTAAATTTTTTGAAAATGGTATGGAGACAACCTTATGAGTGAAAGTTCATAATATCCTTAGCCATATGACAGCAGAGAGTGTATGCTAAATGTGCTACATCGAAGTAACAATTTTAGACTGTGCGTCTAGCGGTATTCGTCTGTCTGTCTGGTCGATTTGTGCGTTTGATAACTGGTTTCCATTGATAGTTTCAATTATCAATTTTTATACCCTCCACCTTGGAAAGGAGGGTATATTAACATTGTCATTCCGTTTGTAATATCCTTAAATATTGGTCGTAGACCCCATAAAGTATATATATTCATAATCAGCATAAAATTCTAAGTCGATTTAACGATGTCCGTCTGTTTGTCTGTCCGTCTGTCTGTTGAAATCACTATACAGCCCACATTATTTGACGTAGAGCGTCAAAATTTAGCAGAGCAATTTGTATTGGTATTTAAAATGAGATATATCGGTCCACGTTCTGATATAGTCCCCATATAACGGTACCTCCCGATATTCGGTATTATGATGATTTATGCCACATTTTTTCACGGATTTGTCTGAAAATTAGTATTTGTAGGTCATAACGGGTCCTAGTTCGTGTGGCGAGACATTGCATGTATAGGTTCACGCTTTGGTATAGTCCCCATATAAAGGTACCTCCCGATATTCGGTATTTTGATGGTTTTTACCACATTTTTTTACTGATTTGTCTTAAAAATGGTATTTGTGGGCCAGAATGGGTCCTAGTTCGTGTGACGAAACATTGTATGTATAGGACCACGTTTTGGTATAGTCCCCATATAACGGTACCTCCCAATATTCGGTATTTTGATGATTTTCGACACATTTCTTCACGGATATGTCTAAAAATTGGTAGTTGTAGATCATAATGGGTCCCAGTTCGTGTGGCGAGTCATTGTAATAATAGGTCCACGTTTTGGTATAGCCCCCATATAACGGTACCTCCTGATATTCGGTAATTTGATGATTTTTGCCACATTTTTTCACGGATTTGTTTGAAAATTGGTATTTGTAGGTCATAATGGGTTCTAGCTCCTTTGGCAAAACATTGCAGTGTAGGTCCACGATTTGGTATATACCCCATATAACATTTCTTCTAATGACTGAGGAACCCCGACTTAAACTTTCTAACTTGCTTTATTGAAAAACGACAAAGCAGAAATTTTCAAGTTCCTCGATTTATATAATTTTAATCAAGTCGGATCAGCTCACATATTTTATAGCATTTGACCATTTATTTATGGAGAACCTTTACATTACACTTTCTTCAGTTGTAAGTAAATTTATATATAATTTTGTACGAGCTATAAACGATAAAATACTTATGCCTTTCGGATTATCTTGAAATTATTCAATTAAAACAATAAACTGCATTTTTTTTAATTCGAAATTTTTGAGTTATATCACTGTTTGATTCAATAGACACTATATATACATACATTCACGCATGGTACCATGCATTCACGTTTCCCTTGTAGCTAAAACTCAGTACCAGTTGTACGAACGACCACTGTTCGCCACTGCTTCGTCAATAGGATTTCAATTAGAATAATTAGTAGGAGCTATTTCTATAGAACCATGGCATGCTTACAGGTGACAATCAATAGGCATGGATTTCAACAAAGGTCTAAAATCAATCAATGAAAAAAACGGTTTTATTTGCGTATGTTAGTAGTCAAATACATTGAATCGGCACAATAGATATTGCATTAGAAATTATCGTTTTGAGTATGAGTAGCTTGTTGATGACAAAACCATAACATTCAAGCGACGAAACACAAATAAACAAGTGAATAGTTGAGTGAAAATTTCTCTTATTAATTTGCTCGATAACTAGCTAGAAAATATGGTGAAAGATTTCAATGTATTTCAAATTGACGGAATTAATAGGTGTATTTATACCCTACACCATTCTATGGAGGGTATAATAACTATGTCATTCCGTTTTTAACTCCTCAAAATACTCATGATAGACCCTACAAAGTATATATATTCTGGATCAGAATAAAATTTTAAGTCGATTTAGCGATGCCCGTCTCTCTTTCTCTCTGTCTGTTGTAATCACGCTATCTTTCGAAAGAATTGAGATAGAAGGCCAACATTTTTGCACACGTGTATATTCTGCCAGTATAAGTTTGTAAATGGGGCATGTCGGTCCACGCTTTCATATAGCCCCCATATAACAATACCTCCTGATATTCGGTATTTTAATGATTTTAGCGACATTATTCGTTCGTAATGAATACTTCAAGTTCCTTACAAATGGTATTTTTCGGAATTTGTTGAAAATTTTCAAGTTCCTTACAAATGGTGGAGGATATTAAAAGTTCGGACCGGTCGATCTTATCTGCTTTTTTACCTGTTTATATATTAGGAGAATGAAAGTAGAATAAAAAGGTCCAAAGTCGGGCAGGGCCGACTATATGATACCCACACCACAATGCGTATTTAGTAAAGCTCCCGTAACAAAAATGTGGAATTTACCAACTATGATGCGATAAGGATTATATTAAACAATTCCGGTGAATAACGTTACAAAAATCATCAAAATGCCGAATTTCGGGAGGAACCGTATTATAGGGACCTATATAGACAATTCTCTTCCAGAGGGAAATGTACTCACAAGGAACTCCTTTTGCGGATTTTCAGACAATTCCGTAGAAAAATGTGGCTCAAATAATCAAAATACCGAATATCGGGTGGTACCGTTATATGGGGGCTATACGACATCGTGGACCTATATAGATAATTATCTTCCAGGGGATAAAGTACTCTCAAGAAACTCTTTGTATGGATTTTCAGGCAATGCCATTGAAAAATGTGGCTAAAATCATCATATAGATAATTATCTTTCAGGGGATAAAGTACTCACATGAAACTCTTTATGTGGAATTTCAGACAGTGAATAACGTTGCAAAAATCATCAAAATACCGAATTTCGAGAGGAACCGTTATATAGGGGATATATGATATCGTAGACCTATATAGACAATTCTCTTCCAGAGAGTAAAGTACTCACAAAGAACTCATGTATAGAATTTCAGACGATTCCATTGAAAATGATGGACCGATACAGGGGATAAAGTACTCACAAGGAAGTCTTTGTGTGGATTTTCAGAACATTCCGTTGAAAATGTGAGTAAAATCATCGTTATATGGGGGCTATACGATATCATGTACCGATAAAGGCCATCTTCGAACTTGACCTGCCTGACGGACAGAAGAGGGATTTGTGCAACATCAGTAGAATTTTGACTATATATAGTAGAATTTTACTATATATATATACTATATATATATATATATATATATATATATATATATATATATATATAGAATTTCAAGTTTATTACCCCCATTCATATCTGTTGAATATTGTTTTCGGCCATATTATATGGGAATAATACTATTTTATTCACAAAATAGAAAGGTCGAAAACTCCGTATATTAATTAGCATACAATAGTTATATGTACATAAATAGGGTGAGATAAAAAACTGCAACAAAGTAAATCGCCATAAGTTTTACATTTTTTTTAAATTAAATTGAATGAAAGCAAAAATAAGTTTAGATTTGTTCGAATTGGTCATCTTTGGCACGATTTACAGCCAATGAAACCATCACACGCAGCCCGAATGTTGTTCTGTGGTATTTCGGTCCATTCCCGGTGAAGCGCTTGATTAAGGTGATCGTTCATTACTTTTCGAACCATTTCTGCTGATGTTGCTGTTGACCTTGACGTCAGGCTACGCTACCAGTTTCACGGTGACGAGCGATGGTACGAAATACAAAAGATTTATTCACATTTAAATGCTCTAATGATAACCACTTGTGGTTTTCCATCCAAATATAAAGAAATCACACCATCGCGCTTGAATTCCATGACGAATAACTTTTTTTCTGGAAAATTCTCAACAAAATGCTTTTGAACGCTTCTAAACAATATAATGAGGTTCACTGGAATAATTTTAACAGCTGTCGGGCGAGTGGCTTAGAAATGACAGCAGTCTGAAGTTTATTGCAGTTTTTTCATCTCACCCTGTATAATATTTTGGATACCCGGGCAAATATTGAGAAAATATGCTATTCATTTACTTAAATATTTATTATTCACAAAAAAAAAACGCCAAAAACAAACAACAGCAAAAAATATAACTGACAATGGAAATGATAGTTTGTGGCCTGGAAATATGTATGTATATGTGTGCATTCCATCGCATTACGAGTATTATTACAGAAATTGAAAACACAGTATTTCGATTTATAGAATTATAATATTAGGATGGGCAATTTTATATAATTAAGTTTGTCCGTTGTTTTCACGTGCAACTAACTTCGAACAAGTTCAGTTTTATATTATAGATCCCATCAATATTTTAGAAATAAATGTGGACTAAAATTGACTTTGAAATATAATAATAATAATAATAATAATAATAATAATAATAATAATAATAATAATAATAATAATATATAATATATTATTATTATTATTAATATTATTATTATTATTATTATTATTATTATTATTATTATTATTATTATTATTATTATTATTATTATTATTATTATTATTATTATTATTATTATTATTATTATTATTATTATTATTATTATTATTATTATTATTATTATTATTATTATTATTATTATTATTATTATTATTATTAATAAAAATAACAGATTTTCTTTCCGAACAACCCAATAATTTAAACAACTAATGAAATTCTACTGCACAACCACCCACATAATTTTCCTATATGCACAAATGTGTGTGTGTACAGTGTCTCAATAAAATAAACGCTCAGTCCAGTGAATATAGCATTCAAAAGATTACAAATCACCACACAGCTATATTTTGTTGAGGCTTCACCGTTATAATGAAGTTCTCAAATTCCAAATGAATTCAGTCATGTGTAAAAAAAATATTCTTGTTTGAAGGCCACCACTTTCAGGATTTTAGCCCTGAAACTATAAAATGAAACCTTTCCTTAAATAATAACTAAAATAATACAAAATAATAAGAAATATCAACGCAGCACCGTTAAATCAAGTCAAGTATTTAGAATCTGAATCATGTAACATTCTTTTACGATAACTACATACCAAGAAATGAACTATTTGCCAAAAAGCACATTTTCTAGATAAATTTTGGCATTTCACATTTCTTTCTTTTCATTTACAATTTTATAAAAGAAACCAGTAAGGAAAAGTGAACCGGTCGGGAGGGACCAACTATATGAAACCCTAACCGGACAAAATAATTTATTTATAGAGTACATGATATTAGGAATGTAAAAAAAAAAGAAAAAAAAAAAAAAAAAATATATATATATATATATATATATATATATATATATATATATATATATATATATATATATATATATATATAAAAGAAAGTTGTGTTAGTTACTACGCTTATAACTTAAGAACCGCTGGACTGATTTTAACGATTCATACAAATTCGGAATTGTCTCCTCTCCGAAAAGGATAATATCCTAAAAAATCGCGTAAAAAAGTGATATATTAACATTTTCATTTTGACTTTTGAAATGTACAATAGTAATGTTTTATTTTGCATGATTTTTTTCCAATTTGACTTACTTTTTTCTAATGTACATTTGTAGTGTTTTTTATATTTTATTTTTGAATTCAAATATTAATACCAATTTATTTAATTGACTTGATTTCTTGAGAAATGAAATTGATGGCGAGTTACATGGAAGTGTAGTACCGAATTATGTGGTGGCGAAACGGAATAGATGATCTCGAAATAATTTAATGGAATCGAATTTTAAAATAGAAGTACATTCTATTGACAAACTATATAAGGATCTTTAAACATTTGCTGTAAAAAATCAGCGAACAAGTTGAAAATTTTTTCAATGTGTTATTCTTCTTTTGTCAATTTTTTTTTTCAATTTGTATTATCCAATTGAATTCAGTAAATTTTTTGTGAACAAAGAATAATTTTTCACTATATACAAATTTTCACCAAAAAAATTAAATAAGTGGGAAATACGATGTTAACTTACAACTACCTTTCAACTCCAGGACCGACATCGTGGTTCAGCTGAAGATGCGAACACATTTGAACAAACAAAAATGACCGAAAAAGCCTAATGGAGCTCATTTAAAATCGTGGAACTACTTCTTTCCTGTCACAATAATCCGTCCAATGTTCAATCAGAAAAATACCAAATATAAAGGGTGGAAAATAGTAGAGCGAATGGGACTCTTAGTAAGAAAAGGATTTCTATCCTTCCAGAAATTCTTCCCAAACATTCAAGATACCTTAAATCGCTTTTGCAGGTCATGATATCGATCATAACTCACGTATAAGGGTACAACCCGATTTCATATTTATATAACCATCGTATGATTTAAGCTATTTTTGGTGTCTTGGTCACTTTTTTAATATTTTGGCCATTATTTGGCATCTTTGTTTCTAAGGAGGTTGAGAACCTATTCGCGTAAAGTTTAAAATTTTCAGAGTAGGGCCCATTTTGGTCTTGACCACATTCATTAATTGATTTGGCTAAAAATTGTATTTATGCTACCCTGGGGTAGGGAACCATCATCGTCATATACATTGGAGTATCCCCAAGTCCACTTTCACATCTAATTGGTGGACAGAAAAGAACATTTTGTTTTCTATTGAATTTGTAACCCCCAAGAGAATATGGGTTGGGCCACGTTTTGGTATAACCCTTATATAAATGTATCCCTGATTTCAGCTGTGACCGTGGTCTTGGCCACGTTTTTCAACTGATTTGGCCATTATTTACTGTAGAGTAGAGAACCATCTTACAGAAAAATGTCAACATACGTAAATATTTTGGTACAGTCCCCAGGCCCGCCGATCTATAGTGATGTTTACCGATTGGCGGACAACAACGCGGGTATTGTTTAATCGTCATTAAATTTTACTATGAACAAGAACATAGGCTTTTTGGGGACTCTAATGCGCAATTTGAGGTGCTATGGTAATGGGTGTAAAAGCGTAATTAACTTTGACTATTCAGAAATTATTTTGCCCTCCTTCCATAGTTATTTATTTCTACTTAGTCGAATCAATATTTATATTAAAATTTGTTCACTTTTATGAGCTAGATTTGTGAAATATTATGCTATGCAAAATTTGCATTAAAGACTAAAACTACGGGCCGGCAACGCGGACCGGGTCAGCTAGTATATATATATATATATATATATATATATATATATATATATATATATATATATATATATATATATATATATATATATATATATATATATATATATATATATATATATATATAATATATATATATATATATATATATATATATATATATATATATATATATATATATATATATATATATATATATATATATATATATCGGAGCCGAGTTCCACCAACTGGAAACGTACGCCCCGAAACTCACTCCATCTGGGTTGATATTAGCCATTATTTGCACAATAAACCTGAAAGGTATTTCCGAGCTCTATAAGACATCTGGTACCAAATATCATTGTTGTTGAATACATATTACGAATGTGAGATACTTTTGCACCAAATCGGATGGACCATTTATATGGGAGCTCTAGCTATATCTGAACCGGTTTTCACCAAATTTGAAATACTTGTTTCTAGGCTGAATTTCGTCGGATGTGCCAAAATGCAGGTCGTTTGGACCGATATTAGCCATTTGGTGCACAAAAAACCTGAAATCGGATGAAACACATATATGGGAGCTATAGCTATATCTGAAGCGATTATCACCAAATTTGAAGTAGTTGTTACTAGGATAAATTCAGTCGAAATTGTCAAAATCCAGTCCATTTGGCCTGATATTAGCTTTTTGGTGCACAATATACCTGATATCTGATAATGATATATATGGAAGCAATATCCAAATCTGAACCGATCTTGACAAGATCTTAAACACATATTTTTGAGTTGTATCTGATATTTGGTACCAAATTTCTTTGTTGTGGAGTACATATTACGCACGTGTGGGACTTTAACGCCAACTCGGATGAAAAATATATATGGGAGCTATAACTATATCTGAGCCGATTTGATGTACTTACCTCTAGACTGAGTTCCGTCGGATGTGCCAAAATGCAGATCATTTGGACTGATATTGGTCATTTGGTGCAAAATTTGTTGAAGATATATATGGGAGCTATATCTAAATTTGAACCGATTATCACCATTTTCAATAGGATTCGTCCTTGGGACAAACAAATATTGGTTAGAAAATTTTATGTCAATCGGATAATAAATGCGACTTGCATTTTGTTCACAAAAATACGTATATCTCACATATAACGTTACCTTCCATTTTTCGGCATTTTGATGAATTTAGCGACAATTTTCTCCGGAATTGTTTTAAATTTCGTAGTAGACACTTCAACCCGTAACAGAAAATTGTCTATGCAGATCCACCTCTTTTTTCGACCTTTTGATGATATTAGCGAGATTGTTCAAAGGATTTTTTTTTTAAATTTCGTATTTGAATGGGTGCTACAGACAGACAAAAAAGTGCGTATGCACGTCATCGACTTCGTATCGCTTCCATATAACGGCTTTCATTTAAAGCTCATTTTTCGACGTTCCTTCCAAATATTGGAGGGTATTAAAACTTCGGCCTGAACTTAGGTGCTTTTTTACTTGTCAATATTTATGAAATCTTAACGTTTAGTTAAGATTTAAACTTTTGATGTATGGGAAACATAGTAAAATTTTATGACAAATAATTTTGTAGAGTATTATGATTTGCTATGATCCCATTTAAAAGGAGTTTGTAACCATATTTTGAAAAAAAATAACCAAATATATACCCCTTTCGTTACTCGTTCGAAGATTAATGTTTTTGAAAAAAATCCTTGTACCTAAAACTAAAATAAAATGGATCCAAAGAAAATGTGGAAGAGGATTTAAACACAAGGCCCATGTTACGATGTAGTCATCATAATGATGTACTGCCAGATATTCGGTATTTTTGAGGGTTTTTAAAACATTTTACAATTGCATTTCTGATTACATATTAGAAATAGAAATCTAAAGTATTTAAAAAAATTATTCTGAGCATTCCAAAACATATTTTAATATTTGTTTTCTCTAATGAGGAAGTGTGTGAAAAGTTCCACCTGGCTAAACTTAAGGCCTGTTTAACATGTTTATCAGTCATTTGTGAGACACTGTATGTTCGTTTGTACATACGAGTATGGTATTACATACATATGTACCTACGTCTTTGTGTTTTTGAATAAAACGAAGTGTAACAAATAACGACCACATCGCGTCATATTGAAATTGTGACATTTCAGTGGAAATTATTCAACGAATAAATGGAAAAAAGAATGTGAATACGTCACTCACAAAAAATAAAGAAACAACAAAACAAAAAACAGAAAAGAAATATTCGAACAAAACAACCAAAAACGACACCGAATGACTACCACACAGCCAATAACACAATAATAATATTAAATAATAAATACATAAATAACGATAGCAACAAGAACCTCGACATAAACAATAATAACAATAACAGCGCCAAATGGTTAAGGGCAATTTTATGCTAAAGCAGCGAACATGACACCAGATATTACAAACAAAACGCTATCGGCGGCTGCATCTACAAGTGCAGTTGCGGTCGCAAATACCGGAAGAACAATGAAAACAAAACTATCCGACATTAACGTTCTGTCAGCAAGCACATCATCGTTGCCGCCACCTCCGCCGACCAGCATAAAGCGACATCTTTTGACAATCGAAAAGCTGCGTAATCGTGTGCGTCAAATATTACAATGTGTAATTAATTTGCACATTGATATATTGGTAAATATGAAGCAATTATTAAATATTACCTCATAATTACATATATCTTTTAAATTATACAATTGAATAGCGATATTTCTTTTTAATGTGAATAAAGGAGGAATGAACTATTGTAACGTTTCGCTTTTGTATACCCTCCTGCCTAGTATGGAGGATAACTTAAATTTGAAAAATCTCAATGGGTACTACAACCTATGACAAAAAATTACTTATGCAAGTCCACGTCTTCGTATAGCCCCCATATAACAGGGTGAGATAAAAAAACTGCAACAAAGTCAAACGCCATAATTTTTACATTTTTTCTTTAAATTTTATTGAATTAAAGCAAAAAATGTCGGAATTAGCATCAATTTTTAGAAAAAGGTTAGTTTTGTTCGAATTGGTCACCTTTTGCACGAATCATGGCCTTCAAAAGGCCAATGGAACCGTCACATGTTGCTCGAATGTTGCTCTGCGGTGTTTTGGCCCATTCCCGGCGAAGCGCTTGCTTGGTGCCAACCTTGCTTTCCAAAATACTCCAGACACAATAGTCCAACGGATTGGTATCCGGAGATTTTGGTGGCCATTGTGCGCTGGAAATGAAGAGAGGAACCTCATTTTGTAACCATTCTTGGGTGGCGCGTGCCGACGCGATGATGCTGAATCCTGTTGGAATGTCCAAGGTCTGCGACCAAAATGTTTGCGTGCCCAAGGCTTCAATACACCCTCCAGAATATTGTCGCGATTAATACGAGCGGAGAGCGACCATCGCCCGTTATGGCGGCCCACACCATCACCATGGCCGGCGCTTGATTTCTGGTGGCCAACCGAAGGAGCCGTTTTCAGCTGACCTCTTTGGCAAGTAAACACGATCATTTTGTTAGTTTACAAACTGCTGGACAACGAATGTTTTCTCATCGAGAAAACCAAATTCGGCAGTTCACCACTTTTGGCCAAGCCAAGCAACTCTTTAGCTCTTTTGGGTCTATTTTTTTCAGTTGCGGTGTAAGTTCTTGCACTTTTTGGAATATCAATGGCTTTACCCCGAGCTCATTTTCCAATATTTGTCGAATGGAATATTGCGATATGTTCAGCTCGGCCACTGCGACGCGAGTTTCGATCAAGTCACTCCTTTACTTTTCGAACCATCTCTGCTGATGTTGCTGTTTTCTTCCGTCCACTTCCTTGACGTCGGGATACGCTACCAGTATCACGGTAACGAGCGATGGTACGAAACACAAAATATTTATTCACATGCAAATGTTGAAGTGCTCTAAAGATAGCTCCTTGTGGTTTTCCAGCCAAATATAAAGAAATCACACTATCACGCTTGAATTCCATCACGAATAACTTTTTTTCTGAAAAATTCTCAACAAAATGCTTTTGTACACTTGTAAACAATATAATGAGCTATCACTGGAATAATTGTAACAGCTGTCGGACGAGTGGCTTACAAATGACAACAATCTGAAGTTGGTTGCAATTTTTTCATCTCACCCTGTATATATATACATGGTATTAGATACATTATAGGCCAGAATTGTCTTAAATTTCGTATTTGAAGTTCGTAATGAGCCTATGACAATAAATTGTGTATGTAGGTCCACGTTTTCTTATAGAGCCCATATAACGGTACTTCCCTATATTGGGTATTTTTATGATTTTTACAGTATTTTCTAACGATAGGCAAATGTATAGGCGTCTTAATTAAATTTAAGTGTGTTTCTATAGATCTCAGATAACATCAACATTTTTGGCCGGGAATACATTTCTAATAAAAAAAAATTTAAGGTTTAAAGTCATACTCCACACGAGTTTATGCGAAGTTTTTTCTACGAAACATCATTTTTGAAGGATAACTTTAAAATATTGTTCGTCAAATTTCACAATAATTCACAAAAGAAAAGAAATCTCCATTTTATATCAAGAAAATATTTCTGTTAATTTTTCAAAAAATAACGAAATTATTTGCCATTTTTTTCGAGGAATTTTGTCTTGTTTTGAGTTGATGCGTTAAAGTAATGTAATATTTCGTAATATACAGAATATATCAAACTACAAAATATTCTGCCTTAAAAAGTTCGGCTAAAAACCCGAAAATCCTTCAGGGTTTCCTATCATTTGGAATTTTTCACAATCTAGATAGATTTTTGGATATTTAAAGTAGATATAAGAACATCTGCAGCGAGTTTGGAAAATTTCCTAAATTTGTCGAAAATAAAAAACCAAAGTTGATGATATTTCTATGTTACGTTAAGGTTAATGAAGTTTATGTCAAGTTTACATATTTCTTTTGTTCAGCGTCACATAATGAAATTTGATTTCTTTCTTAGGTACTTTTAGAGAAAAAAATAAATATTAAGCTTACTAAGATTGGAAACGAAGTTGAGAGGATGGGGAAAATCCTTCCTTGTTTTAATGAAAAATATATACTTAAATCATTTTGCCAGAACGACGATATCCTTTGTTAGCCATTTCATTTAATAGCAAAAACAAATTAAAAACCTTCCATTCATATTAACGCCTACCATTTGACAATCTGTTCGCTCTCTGTCAATGGTCATATAATCTCGCAGAAATTGTATTCTACAAAATGTACCTTGACATTTTAATTAAAACAAATATTTGTAATTTGAACTGGAAGGAACACACATACATGCACAATAAAGGATAAAAATTACGATTGGTATTTCCACAGTTGAGTGCGATATTAAAAAGAACTGGAGAAATCAGGTAAATACAGCCAACTATAATTGAGCATTTAAACAGCCGTCGGCAAATAGAAAATATGCAGGTGAAATTTACATATGCAAAAAAAAAAATAATAAATATAGCTATATTAATCGGGAACACATTCACAACATTTGAAACTAAAATGTTATACATGAGATAAAACTGGCGACAATAGAATTGCAACAAGAAATGTACGTACGACACATACGATGGGCTTAAATAGGCCTAAATTCGACATCTTGTCAGAGTCATGATTTTTTACATTTATCATTAGCGTTTTTATGCCCTCGGCTACGTGGCTAGATATATACCTTATCATAACGGTTTTAGATCCCAGGTTCCTTTGAACCAAATCCGTTTCAGGACATTTGGAGCCGACCGTCCGTCCGTCTGTTTGTCTGTCTGGCTGTTGCGTACGATAACTCTCGAAGGGAGTATCCGATTTGGCTAAAACTTGGTACACCGTAATATTATTATCAAACTTAAATCGAGCTCGGAGATGGGCAATATATGTCCTTCTTGTACCTCCACCACAAATTGGTAGAACTTTCAAAGAAAATATTTTACTGCACAGAAAGAGAAAGGATGTTTCGATTTTGCTTCAATTTTGCAGTGCTAGTTCATATGCGAGAATGATTGTCCATTTTCGCATTTACTTCCACTTCATCAAGTACCTCCCCCACTAATTGAATAATTATATCTCTTATAAAATGTGACATTAAAGATCGATTGTCTTCAAATTACACACATCACAATATTTTTACTAGCCAAAGGACTGGTGTAAAGATGGAATGTACCGGTTCACTCTTTCCGGTACCTCCCCCACAAATGGTCAAAATTTTGAATATCCAAGAAGTTCATAAGACGCGAAATGAAGATTTGATTCCATTCAAACTCGGCACATCTCAATATTCCTATCAACACAAGGTATGTTGTAAAGATTATAGATATCGGACCATTGCTTCTGGTACCGCCCCCATAAAGAGCTCAAAATTTTTAATAACCAAAACGAGCATCCAAAATTGCGAAAGAAGTCAACGGTTCTTTACAACTTGCTATATCTAAATATTTCTCTCAACCAGAAACCTGATATCGGAATTTATCATTTCGCATGAAATTGAATATAAATGTTCGATTTTGTTTTGTTTTTACACAGGGTGAGATAAAAAAAAAACTGCAGAAAGTCAAAGGCCATAATTTTTACATTTTTTAATTCTATTGAATAAAAGCAAAAAATTGTCGGAAATAGCATCAAAATTTAGAATAAGTTTAGATTTGTTCGAATTGGTAACCTTTGGCACGAATTATGGCCTTCAAACGGCCAATGAAACCATCACACGCTGCCCGAATGTTGCTCTGCTGTATTTTTGCCCATTCCCACGAAGCGCTTGCATGAGGTGATCGACACTTTAGAATTTTTTAGTGCCAACCTTACCTTCCAAAATACTCCAGACACAATATTCCAACGGATTGGTATCCGAAGATGTTGGTGGCCATTGTGCGCTGGAAATGAAGTAAGGAACCTCATTTTGTAACCATTCTGGGGTGGCGCGTGCTGAGTGCGATGGTACTGAGACCTGTTGGAATGTCCAAGGTCTGCGGCCAAAATCTTTGCGTGCCCAAGGCTTTAATACACTCTCCAGAATATTTTCGCGATAATATTCGGCATTTATTCTGAAGCCACGGTCGATTAGTACGGGCGGAGAGCGACCATCGGCTGTTATGGTGGCCCACATTTCTGCTGATGTTACTGTTTTCTTCCGTCCACTTCCTTGACGTCGGACTACGCTACCAGAATCACGGTAACGAGCGATGGTACGAGACACAAAAGATTTATTCACATTCAAACGATAACGATAGTCACCAAAATGTTTTTGTGCGCTTGTAAAAAATATATTGAGCTGTCACTGAATAATTTTAACAGCAGTCTGAAGTTGGTTGCAATTTTTTCATCTTACCCTGTATTTCAGTGTGTTAGTTACTGACTGACTGAATTATCTATCTAGAATCTTGAAATTTTGCATGTCGGCCAATGTTAGGGTATATGTGTCAGATAAGGCTGGGTTTTTGAAAATTCGAACTAAAAGTACTAAAAATACAACTGGAACTGGAAATTTGAAAGTATGTTTAACAAAAGAGGTGGCTTCGGAAAGACATCGAATTTTACTCTGATCAAGAATATTTATGATCTGTGAACGAATATTTCGGGGTTTTACAAACTGAATAATAAAATTATTATATCGTATGGAGATTATAGAAAAATGTTAAATTTTAACTACCCTTAATCACGGAGTCAAAACTATATATCTTGGATATGATTTATTATACTTTAAACTTAATTATCCTCTTTCCCATTAGGGATATCAGTATTTGAGTTCGTCGCATATACATCAAATAAAAAATTGTTGAAAATAGTTACTAATTTCAATACTTTTTTTCTTTTATCTACAGGTAATCGAATCGAATGTCAATCAACTAATAGATGATGTGAAAGAACTGAATGCAGATCTGTTGGAGGTACAACGTTTAGATAATCTAATACAAACACTGAGAGATTACAATGGTCCCACCATTTTCCACGAATGGCCGTTCCCTTTGGTCTGTCAAGGAACCATAGACGAAGCTGATTTAGCACAAACTTTAAATTCTTAGGAAGTTTTGTTTGTTTTTGTTTAACAGCAAAAATATCGTAGTATTTTATAATTGAATATCATTATATACATAACAAAATAATACCCCCAACACATAGTGTTGTAGGGTATAAATATAAAATAGACTGTTAATTTTAATATAAATCAAAGTAAATGAATGAATACATAACAAAGTGAATAAAGCAAATGTCGTTACTAAAACATATAAACATTAATGTCCTTGTTATCCTCGAAGGTAAAAATTAATTATAATAATAACAAGTAAAAAAGCTGTAAGTTCGACCGGGTCGAACATTGAATATCTTCCACCATTTGGAACAAATTTGGCAATTTTCAAAAAATAAAATCCGTTAAAAATTCTGTTAAAATCTTAAAAATACCGAATGTAGCCGTTAAATTAAGGTCTATACGACGATGTGGACTTGCACAGGCATTACAATAAGCCATTACAATATTCAAATGCGAAACTAGAAAAAAATCGGTAAATAATGTAGCTAAAATCATGAAAATACCGAATATAGGGAGGTACCGTTATATGGGTGCTATACGAAGACTTGGATATGCACAGACAATTTTTTGTAAAACGCTGTAGTATCCATTACAAACTTCAAGTACCAAATTTGAAACAATTCCAGTGAATGATGTCGCAAAAATCATCAAAATACTGAAAATCGGGAGGTACCGTTATATGGCGCTTTTACGAATTTACGCACAGACAATTTTCTGTCATAGGCCGTAGTATCTATTCAAATACCAAATTTAAAAACATTCCGGTAAATAATGTCGGTAAAATCATCAAAATGCCGAATAACGGGAGGGGGCACGTTATATGGGGGCACGGACAGTTTGCTGTCACAGACTGTAGTATCCATTGAAATACCAAATTTGAAACATTTCCGGTGAATAATGTCGCTAAAATCATCAAAATACCGAAAATAGGGAGGTACTATTATATGGGGGCTATAGCAAAACGTACATGGCCCATTTTCAATCCCAAAAGTCCTGCGGACGTAATATACATTTGAGTACAATTTTATCAACCTAATTCATTTCGTTCGGAAGCTAGATAGATTTCCACAGACAGACAGACATTGCTAAATCGATATAGAATTTTATGCTGTATATATACTTTGTGGGGTCTAAAATGTATATTTCTAGGGTGTTACATTCGGTATGGGTGTGAAGATAAATTGGAAAGTTAAATTGGATGTTAACAGACACAGTTACTTAACAGAGCTCTGTTAAGGAATTAACAGAGCTTTGTTAAAGACTGAGTAAAAAAGAAAATTTTGAAAAATATTATTATTTGTTAATTATTATATTAAAATTTATTACTTCGGTAATAGAAATAGCTTGAATACAAATTAAATAAATACTATGCAGCACCAACTATAGAACAAACCGTTTCAGACACCCGAATTGGCTCATATCTTTATTATGATGTAAAAAAACGGAATGGACCACTGTGCAAAGCCTATAAAACCTGCGCGGATCAAACTAGGCTTAAATGAAAGGTCTCTCCGAGCACTTTCAGCCCATATATAGGTTATAGTCCAAAACCGTTTCAGAGACCCAAATTGGACCCATCCTTAATAATAATAAGGTCGTAACAGATTGAACCACTGTGCAAAGCCTATAAAACCTGCGCGGATCAAACTAGGCTTAAATGAAAGGTCTCTCCGAGCACTTTCAGCCCATATATAGGTTATAGTCCAAAACCGTTTCAGAGACCCAAATTGGACCCATCCTTAATAATAATAAGGTCCTAACAGATTGAACCACTGTGCAAAGCCTATAAAACCTGCGCGGATCAAACTAGGCTTAAATGAAAGGTCTCTCCGAGCACTTTCAGCCCATATATAGGTTATAGTCCAAAACCGTTTCAGAGACCCAAATTGGACCCATCCTTAATAATAATAAGGTCGTAACAGATTGAACCACTGTGCAAAGCCTATAAAACCTGCGCGGATCAAACTAGGCTTAAATGAAAGGTCTCTCCGAGCACTTTCAGCCCATATATAGGTTATAGTCCAAAACCGTTTCAGAGACCCAAATTGGACCCATCCTTAATAATAATAAGGTCCTAACAGATTGAACCACTGTGCAAAGCCTATAAAACCTGCGCGGATCAAACTAGGCTTAAATGAAAGGTCTCTCCGAGCACTTTCAGCCCATATATAGGTTATAGTCCAAAACCGTTTCAGAGACCCAAATTGGACCCATCCTTAATAATAATAAGGTCCTAACAGATTGAACCACTGTGCAAAGCCTATAAAACCTGCGCGGATCAAACTAGGCTTAAATGAAAGGTCTCTCCGAGCACTTTCAGCCCATATATAGGTTATAGTCCAAAACCGTTTCAGAGACCCAAATTGGACCCATCCTTAATAATAATAAGGTCGTAACAGATTGAACCACTGTGCAAAGCCTATAAAACCTGCGCGGATCAAACTAGGCTTAAATGAAAGGTCTCTCCGAGCACTTTCAGCCCATATATAGGTTATAGTCCAAAACCGTTTCAGAGACCCAAATTGGACCCATCCTTAATAATAATAAGGTCCTAACAGATTGAACCACTGTGCAAAGCCTATAAAACCTGCGCGGATCAAACTAGGCTTAAATGAAAGGTCTCTCCGAGCACTTTCAGCCCATATATAGGTTATAGTCCAAAACCGTTTCAGAGACCCAAATTGGACCCATCCTTAATAATAATAAGGTCCTAACAGATTGAACCACTGTGCAAAGCCTATAAAACCTGCGCGGATCAAACTAGGCTTAAATGAAAGGTCTCTCCGAGCACTTTCAGCCCATATATAGGTTATAGTCCAAAACCGTTTCAGAGACCCAAATTGGACCCATCCTTAATAATAATAAGGTCCTAACAGATTGAACCACTGTGCAAAGCCTATAAAACCTGCGCGGATCAAACTAGGCTTAAATGAAAGGTCTCTCCGAGCACTTTCAGCCCATATATAGGTTATAGTCCAAAACCGTTTCAGAGACCCAAATTGGACCCATCCTTAATAATAATAAGGTCCTAACAGATTGAACCACTGTGCAAAGCCTATAAAACCTGCGCGGATCAAACTAGGCTTAAATGAAAGGTCTCTCCGAGCACTTTCAGCCCATATATAGGTTATAGTCCAAAACCGTTTCAGAGACCCAAATTGGACCCATCCTTAATAATAATAAGGTCGTAACAGATTGAACCACTGTGCAAAGCCTATAAAACCTGCGCGGATCAAACTAGGCTTAAATGAAAGGTCTCTCCGAGCACTTTCAGCCCATATATAGGTTATAGTCCAAAACCGTTTCAGAGACCCAAATTGGACCCATCCTTAATAATAATAAGGTCCTAACAGATTGAACCACTGTGCAAAGCCTATAAAACCTGCGCGGATCAAACTAGGCTTAAATGAAAGGTCTCTCCGAGCACTTTCAGCCCATATATAGGTTATAGTCCAAAACCGTTTCAGAGACCCAAATTGGACCCATCCTTAATAATAATAAGGTCCTAACAGATTGAACCACTGTGCAAAGCCTATAAAACCTGCGCGGATCAAACTAGGCTTAAATGAAAGGTCTCTCCGAGCACTTTCAGCCCATATATAGGTTATAGTCCAAAACCGTTTCAGAGACCCAAATTGGACCCATCCTTAATAATAATAAGGTCGTAACAGATTGAACCACTGTGCAAAGCCTATAAAACCTGCGCGGATCAAACTAGGCTTAAATGAAAGGTCTCTCCGAGCACTTTCAGCCCATATATAGGTTATAGTCCAAAACCGTTTCAGAGACCCAAATTGGACCCATCCTTAATAATAATAAGGTCCTAACAGATTGAACCACTGTGCAAAGCCTATAAAACCTGCGCGGATCAAACTAGGCTTAAATGAAAGGTCTCTCCGAGCACTTTCAGCCCATATATAGGTTATAGTCCAAAACCGTTTCAGAGACCCAAATTGGACCCATCCTTAATAATAATAAGGTCCTAACAGATTGAACCACTGTGCAAAGCCTATAAAACCTGCGCGGATCAAACTAGGCTTAAATGAAAGGTCTCTCCGAGCACTTTCAGCCCATATATAGGTTATAGTCCAAAACCGTTTCAGAGACCCAAATTGGACCCATCCTTAATAATAATAAGGTCCTAACAGATTGAACCACTGTGCAAAGCCTATAAAACCTGCGCGGATCAAACTAGGCTTAAATGAAAGGTCTCTCCGAGCACTTTCAGCCCATATATAGGTTATAGTCCAAAACCGTTTCAGAGACCCAAATTGGACCCATCCTTAATAATAATAAGGTCCTAACAGATTGAACCACTGTGCAAAGCCTATAAAACCTGCGCGGATCAAACTAGGCTTAAATGAAAGGTCTCTCCGAGCACTTTCAGCCCATATATAGGTTATAGTCCAAAACCGTTTCAGAGACCCAAATTGGACCCATCCTTAATAATAATAAGGTCGTAACAGATTGAACCACTGTGCAAAGCCTATAAAACCTGCGCGGATCAAACTAGGCTTAAATGAAAGGTCTCTCCGAGCACTTTCAGCCCATATATAGGTTATAGTCCAAAACCGTTTCAGAGACCCAAATTGGACCCATCCTTAATAATAATAAGGTCCTAACAGATTGAACCACTGTGCAAAGCCTATAAAACCTGCGCGGATCAAACTAGGCTTAAATGAAAGGTCTCTCCGAGCACTTTCAGCCCATATATAGGTTATAGTCCAAAACCGTTTCAGAGACCCAAATTGGACCCATCCTTAATAATAATAAGGTCCTAACAGATTGAACCACTGTGCAAAGCCTATAAAACCTGCGCGGATCAAACTAGGCTTAAATGAAAGGTCTCTCCGAGCACTTTCAGCCCATATATAGGTTATAGTCCAAAACCGTTTCAGAGACCCAAATTGGACCCATCCTTAATAATAATAAGGTCGTAACAGATTGAACCACTGTGCAAAGCCTATAAAACCTGCGCGGATCAAACTAGGCTTAAATGAAAGGTCTCTCCGAGCACTTTCAGCCCATATATAGGTTGTAGTCCAAAACCGTTTCAGAGACCCAAATTGGACCCATCCTTAATAATAATAAGGTCCTAACAGATTGAACCACTATGCAAAACCTATAAAACCTGCGCGGATCAAACTAGGCTTAAATGAAAGGTCTCTCCGAGCACTTTCAGCCCATATATAGGTTATA